GGCACCGAAAAGTTGCGAGAGGTGTTCCTGAAGTACGCCTCCATCCAGAAGAATGGCGAGCACTACATGACCAGCGAGGACTTTGTGCGAAAGTTCCTAGGACTCTTCTCGGAATCTGCATTTAATGACGTGAGTACTTTGCCTGCAGTCGATGGGTCATTGCAAGGTTATTTTGCATAGTGCGCATGATAAGAGCGGCCATATCTTATCGCCAGATAAGTTCGCCCAGTACACACTCGTATATATGCTTATAAACATAAATCAGAGCCGCATAACTAGCCACTGTGATTCACCTGCTGACCTTGACCCACCCGCAAACATGTAGCAAACGCATAAACCCATAAACCAAATAACCCGGCAATCACTTGGCTGCCTCGTGTCTAACCGCCAACGTCACAGATTCTATTTTAATGGGTCCGCTTATCAGCTTTATGGCCTGAGAACCGAACTGAACCTGATCGGCGATCGTAGGTGCTCCGCAAATTGGAACTGATTCAATCAGGTGCCGAAGTCTGCGGGGGCAGTTCACCCGTTTATCTGCCCATTAGGGGTAACTACTGGTCTAATGTCCACTCGAAAGAGATTAACCTGCCACTGGAAGAAGTGCCATGCCTTAGTTCCCCGTCACATGTTTGTTGTGCAAAGATTTACCAGGAGCTAATCAACCAACGTTATATTTCGCATAGGAATCGGTGCGCCTACTGGCCAACATTGCGGACACCAGCAAGGATGGACTCATCTCCTTCTCGGAGTTCCAGGCCTTCGAGGGTCTGCTCTGCACCCCAGACGCCCTCTACAGGACCGCTTTCCAGCTGTTCGACCGCAAGGGCAACGGCACTGTATCCTACGGTGAGAAAATCCCATCCTATATAAGCAACTAAACTAAGCTATGCCACTGAACTATCCACTTTGCAGCCGACTTTGCTGATGTCGTACAAAAAACCGAACTGCACTCAAAGATACCTTTTAGCCTAGATGGCCCCTTTATCAAGCGCTACTTTGGTGATGTAAGAGCACTGCAATCAGACGATTATTCAATGATTATACTGTATATGCTTGCCCGAACTGTAGAAGAAGCAACGCCTTATCAACTATGCTGAGTTCACCCAGCTGCTGCACGACTTTCACGAGGAGCACGCGATGGAGGCCTTCCGCAGCAAGGATCCAGCTGGCACTGGGTTCATCTCGCCCTTGGACTTCCAGGACATCATAGTTAATGTTAAGCGGCATTTACTGACCCCCGGCGTCAAGGACAATCTAGTTTCGGTAGCTATTGCCGCTCTTAGCCATCCGTTCATCATTCTAAGGATCGTTTTCCCAACTCCACCAGGTAACTGAGGGTCACAAAGTGAGCTTCCCGTATTTCATCGCATTTACCTCGCTGCTGAACAACATGGAACTGATCAAACAAGTCTACCTGCACGCCACCGAGGGCAGTCGCACGGATATGATCACCAAGGATCAGATCCTCTACGCCGCCCAGACGATGAGCCAAATCACGCCGCTGGAGGTCGACATCCTTTTCCATCTGGCGGGCGCCGTCCACCAAGCGGGGTGAGTCTATAGGCACTACCTTGGGTTCAGTGTTGCCAACTTTGGATTCGAATTAGCCAAACTAGCATTACATTATATTTTATTATAAAGTCAGTTAGTGACATATTCATTTGCAAAATAATCCTTTTGTTACTGCTCTTTGAAGGAGATACATTTTTTCTTGGCATGCAATGTATGTATCTTTCATAACTTTCAATATCTTTCAAGTATCTTTCAATACTTAACCATTACTTTTTGAAGACTTGCAAAGTGGAAGCTCTAACAGCTATAATTTTCTACTATTGTGATTAAGTAATAGTTCGCGTTTATGCCCTACTTTCTACACATTTTAAGTTTTCCAAGGTTCTAATGAGCGGTATTGTGTTTTCATAATGAACTGATGTAATTGGCACTTTTCGCATGGTTCAGCTTGTAGATACAAGGCGTTAGTATAGGTTAGTATAGTATGAAATTACCAGCTGGATGTAAAATTTGGACCTACTAGAAATGAGTATGCTGAGTGATATATTTTTACACTTATAACAGCTAAAACTATGAAGTGGAGATTTAAAGTTATGACCCTCTAGGCCATAAGTCCGATTGTGATGTATGTGTGCATCCTTTAAAGTAGGCGATCATTACTGCCCAGGGCAATCCCCAAAAATGAGTGTCAAGTGTCTTGTGCTAATTGTTGCTTGTTTGTATCATTTTCTCTCCGTGTGTTCTCTTTATTTCTCCTTTTCTCTGCGCTGCACTCGCAATTCTCACGCCCAAAGCTGGTGGAAGCGCAGGAGAAAGATACCTCCAAGTAGGCAAGTGATCTCGTCCTGCCTTGGCCTGATTTCCGCTTTTTGTTTGTTTATGAATCCACTCCCAGAATCCCGCACCCACAAACCTAACTCAGTTGGTATCTCTAAGTTTCCCTTTCCCATACATATTATATGCAAGTCGAAACTAATCCGGAGTTGATGTTCGCATTCCTCAGCCGCATCGACTATAGTGACCTGAGCAACATCGCACCCGAGCACTACACCAAGCATATAACGCATCGTCTGGCGGAGATTAAGGCGGTGGAGAGTCCTGCGGACCGATCTGCCTTTATTCAGATCCTGGAGAGCTCTTACCGCTTCACCCTGGGTTCCTTTGCCGGCGGTAAGTTTGGATGCACTGCATCCCCTTAGAAGGAACGCATATTGATTTACTTTGTATCGTCAGCTGTGGGCGCCACTGTGGTCTACCCCATCGATCTAGTCAAGACTCGAATGCAGAACCAGCGGGCGGGTTCCTTTATTGGTGAAGTTGCCTATCGAAACTCCTGGGACTGCTTCAAAAAGGTAAGTCTGATCACATAGTCTGTAAAATGATCTTATCCTAATGCCTTAATCCGCAGGTGGTTCGCCACGAGGGATTCATGGGTCTCTACAGAGGTCTGCTGCCCCAGCTGATGGGCGTGGCCCCCGAGAAAGCCATCAAACTGACGGTGAATGACTTGGTGAGGGACAAGCTGACCGACAAGAAGGGCAACATTCCCACCTGGGCGGAGGTTATGGCTGGTGGATGTGCAGGTGCCTCGCAGGTGGTGTTCACCAATCCCCTGGAGATTGTGAAGATCCGTCTCCAGGTGGCTGGAGAAATCGCAAGTGGGAGCAAGATCCGTGCGTGGTCGGTGGTGCGGGAACTGGGACTCTTTGGGCTCTACAAGGGAGCCAGGGCCTGTCTGCTCCGCGATGTGCCGTTCTCGGCCATCTACTTCCCGACCTATGCCCACACCAAGGCCATGATGGCCGACAAGGACGGCTACAACCACCCACTTACCCTGCTGGCCGCCGGTGCCATTGCCGGTGTTCCGGCCGCCTCGCTTGTCACGCCCGCCGACGTCATCAAGACCCGCCTCCAGGTGGTGGCCCGATCCGGACAGACCACCTACACCGGGGTCTGGGACGCCACCAAGAAGATCATGGCCGAGGAGGGACCCAGAGCCTTCTGGAAGGGCACAGCCGGTAGGTCAACGCTAGCTTCTTCGGTGGATTTATATATTGATTTCTTGTAACCTATCCCACAGCTCGAGTCTTCCGCTCCTCACCACAGTTCGGCGTGACCCTGGTGACCTACGAACTGCTGCAGCGCCTCTTCTACGTGGACTTCGGCGGCACCCAGCCCAAGGGATCCGAGGCGCACAAGATCACCACTCCGCTGGAGCAGGCGGCGGCGTCGGTGACCACCGAGAACTTGGACCACATCGGTGGCTACCGGGCGGCAGTTCCTCTTCTGGCGGGTGTGGAGTCCAAGTTCGGATTGTACCTGCCGCGATTTGGACGCGGAGTAGCCGCTGCCACGCCCTCGACGGCCAAGGGATCCTGATTGTACTGGCGCCACCGCCTGCCAAGCGCCACGTAGTCTACGGAATGCAGGAGGGATTGGCGGGATTGGCGGGATTGGCGGGATTGGCGGGATTGCGGCTCCGGTGGACAGAGATATGGGATATATTTTTTGCTAGAACGCGTTTACACAAAACACACACACACGAACACAGGAGCACTGAGGATATTTCTAACGAGGATCAGGAAGGAGCAGCGCCGTATCTATAGTACTATTGTATCTGAACTGCAGGGCTCGAACCCTGGGCACCCAGCTCTGAGCAACTGTTTTTACCACACACCCAAAACCAAAAGAGGAGTAATGAAAGCCCATTTAGGAGTATAGAATATCGATTTGGCCATGGTGCGTATGTATATTTAGGCAAGTGTAGAGCTGTTTTTGTAAACTTTGTTAACTAGTTTAAAGTCTAGAGCATCAACCAATCACTGAACGTCAACTTTTGCACTCAATGTAACTATTAAAGCGATAAAACCTTTTAATCTTAGTACGAATTTGTTCAAAACAATTATCAAGCAAAGGAAATGCAATGAATGACCTCTTAGCTAATAAAGAATAATTAAATAAAACTCAATGTTTAAAACGAACGAACCTTCGGAAAGTGCAGTTTTTTGGGTTGGCCACTTCATTTCATTCCATTACCATTGCAACCAGGTAATGCCCACGTAAATCTCTTCAAAACTTTCCTACTCCCATTGAAACTGGCCCACAGACAAGAGAAGCCGCCCCTTGAAAGCTGCTTGCCCACTCAATCGAGCGTCTAATTCATGGCCAATTGCCACTGAAACACTGAAACGGGTCGAAACGCATCTGATTAGAATTGTGCGATGGTGGGCATTTGCAAATCGATGTTGACAAGTTTATTTGAACGCCGCCCATTTGGCTTTCTGGGTGCCCAGACTCGGTTTCGAAGTCACCAACAATGCTGTCTGACGACCATGACCGCCAAAAGAAACCGTTAGGGACACCAGAAGAGGGTTTCCACCAGCTGCCCCAATGACCGGGTGCACTGGACGAGATCGGTCGCCGATCACTGGTCAGCAGTGGGTTATAAAAACTGCATCGCTGGCGGCTCATTGGATGCAGTTTCATTTTGGCTTTCGAAGGGCGAACAATGCGTGCTCCGTCGGTTCTGGTTATATTCCTGCTTGGAGTGATCCTGGGTGATCGTGGCGCGGCTGGAGAGGATCAGGCGCACAAATCGTGGATATCCCAGCTCAAGCAGCTACGCAGTGATCTGCGGGACTGCTACCAGTCCGGAGTACATCAAAGTCTGTGGTCTTGCTTCCGCTCAAGAAGCTTGCACATCTTCGAGGGCATCATGTCGTCGCCGGAGATTTCCATTTACGACGGAGTACGCCTGGTGTCCGCTCCGCAGATGGCTGAAAACGCTACTCGCCCGGAGGACGAACGGAAGGATTTGAAGCACTTAACCTGGTTCGATCAACTGGCAGCGAGTTTGGCCAAGGGCTTGACCACCCACACTTTGCAAGTGAACTTGGGCAAGCTGACGGAGCGATATCTAAGTAGTGGTGGGTTTTGGTTACCGTGTACTCCATTCAGCATTCATTGATTCATTGATTCACATAACCAGAGACTTCTGGCACCGATCCTGTGGGCAGTGCCCGGCTGAGAAGACATCGCTACAACATGATCATAACCATGATGTTTGGAGTGACTGCCTTGGGGGCCATCCTGGTGCCCATGGGCTTCCAAATGCTCTCCATAGTGAGTGGAAAAGCGCTGCTACTGGCCAAGATGGCCCTGCTCCTGGCCTCCATTAATGGCCTAAAGAGGGTGAGTGGGTGTCAGGCAAGGGTAAACCTCCATTCTAACCCTTTTTCCTATGCGCTTCCAGGTGGCCAACAATGGACTGCACTATGGACTGTACCACGTGCCAGGAGAGCACCTAGGAGGTTACTACGACCGGGGGGATGTGAGCCACCCCAGAAATGTGCCTATTCCCGTGGCCGTGGCGCCCACTTTGGATATGGGATTGAAGTAGGGACTTAGAACTTCATATAGGACAAAATGTTAACTCAATCAAATCCATAAATAAGATAAAATATTAAAGCATTACATCTTTATAGTTTAGACGCATAAAGAGCACATTGTAAGTTCCGTTCTAGGTTAAGACTAGATCCAATTTCAAATAAAGCCGGATTTCCATTTGAAAGAGCTTTCCACCCAAGCTTTTCCTCGGCCATTTCTGTTGGCAATGCTCGCCAGAAAATTCACCGGAAAAGCTGCTGGTGGTGAGTAACCAAACAGCGGCAAGTATTTCAAAAAATGCAGTGCAAATCGCAGCGAAATGCTAATAATATAGAAGCTGGAAAATAACAAAGGAAAACGTTGTACGGAACTTGTAGGGCCAAAACTTCTGAACACACACACCTAAAGCACGTAGAAAATCAGGGAAAAACGCAGAGGAAAAGTGTAAAAAACATGGGAACTCGGCAAGGACGACTGGCTATAAAAGGAAATGCGGCGCTGATAAGGACCAACACTCGGTCGTCGAGCGGCAGCGTAGACGCATCGTCCTTGTTTTCGTCCTGCAACGGTTTCTTGGTTTCTTTTTCGCTGTGAAACTTAAATCGGTTTCCCGGCGCAATTTCCAGCCCGCATCAAGTATACGCATCGTGTGCCCAGTAAGCATAGCACCGCGTGCCTCCGTCGCTAATTCCACGCTCTAATGAAGTTATTGGGTGCGTGATTCCTGCTCTAATCTCTAATCTCTAAGCAACGGCCGCAGAGGCGACAGGATCAAAAGCAGCCGCCCCGGAACTCGAGGGCTAATTGAAAAGTCGCCTCAAACTTTGTCAACTGATTTTCAATCTCCCCGCGGCGGTTGGCCATTTTCTGCTCAGATTTCGCCAATCGAAACTCGCGATGAAGTTGGTTGTCTATCTGTACTTCTCCATGATTGTGCTGGGCGTCCAGGTGAGTGTCGATTGAAAGAACAACTACTTATCGCCACTTGAATATATTTTTAAGCTCTTATTTACTCACTTGTTGTTCTCTGTGTATAAATGGATGACGAAGTCACGCGTGTAACTCCTTGTAATTCGATCAACAAGTTGGGCCAACTTTTGTTTCCCCGTTGCCCTAATGACTTGATCTAATTTCTCTCGGCCCAGATTTCTTGGCCAGATTGATTGATTCTAGCTGTCGGCCTTATTGCCAAACTTTTTGGCAGCCTTTCAGCTGCGACTTATGCCAGAACTGATTACCTTCATTAGGCTCACGTTGCAAACTCCAGTTAGTAATCAATTTATGGAAGTCCAAGCGGGTCAGCGGGTCAGCGGTTCATAGTTGCGGTCCGTCGCAAATGAATTCCTAATTCCATTCGGTAATGGCCCAATCAGTGGCAAGGTTTCCGTGACATTTGCTTGCAGTCGAAACAAAAATAGAACTCGTGCTAATTGTGATTGAGACTATTCCAAGTCAAATAAGATAGCAGCGCTATCTTCTCTGCAGAGGCGTGGTTGAGTTGCACTGAAAAGGGGAATATTTTGAGAAATTTCATTGAACTTCAGTAGAACAGCGCCATGTAAGCTAACCTAAGACAAGCAATTCATTCCTTGTGATCGGAAAACAGTATAGCCCACACATAAAACACACGCAAAAAGGAAATTCAAATATTGAAATAACAACATTTGTCATGTTAGCCTGCCAAAGACGGAGGGCATTTGGATATGAAAATATTGGAAAGTGGCGAACGATTAAGGTTCTATTTTTCACTCCTGGTTCCTGGTTCCTGCCATCCATCAACTGGAGAGCCTGCGATAGGTGTGCTTAATGGCAACTTTGTGGGCACAGTCGTGAAGCCAGGACGTTGGGAATCCACTTCACTGGCCAAGGATAAATGTAAATTCGCACCTGCCAGTGCGCCGTGGGCGGTGGCAAAAGCCAAGCAGTCCTGGCGGAAAGCCCAGCGAATCGAAGGCAATGAAACTGCAACTGACTCATTCCTTCCGTGGTCACTCACTCACTTTAGACAGGGACGAGATTTTCAGCACTGCCCCGTGCCCATTCCGCCCCAATCCGCCCCTTCTGTAAATCCACATCCTGCTCGATTGCCTGAGAGTCCTGCACTTGATGTGCGCTTAATGTTGACACCGACGCTTTGGCACTTTACAGCCATTTAAGCCAGGACATGACAGCCACACCCCTGCTGTCCCACTTCCGCCGCATTTTCCTGTTTTCCCTCCATTTCCACCCGTGGAGCTTCGTTTTTCACTCTGGCAACATGTGAGAACGACAACAATTAAAACATGAATGTCATCGGGTGCAACGGAGGGTAACTGAGTTCTGGAGCACTGTGACATGGAGAGGTAAGCTCAAGCGTTCAGAGGTGACCCCTAATTGCACCAGCCACAAATTGGGTGCTTAGGGGCTTGTGCTTTGTTCCACTCACTTTCCGAACCTGAATACTCACACTGCACTCACAAGGAGTTCACCTATGGAGCTGCCTTGAAGTGTGCAACAATATTTTGTGACTTGGGGATCCAGTTTGGGCAGCCCCATGTTGTACGCTGTTTGTTGTAATTGAATCTGCTTTGGAAGCCCTCATAACGTATGCCCCAATATCTACGTGGCATGCCTCTAATTTCCATAAATTTCATTCATCATGTAGCAGCAGTTGCGCGAAATTTATGCCATCTATTCAATTCCGTTCGGGCAGAACTCGTGCATAAATCTCGAATGCAATATGTTCGATATAAGCCGAGGAGGAGGACGGAGTCGAGGCATCGAGGCATTTAAGGCAGAACTAATTTCCGCCGTGGCAACACTCGAATTTCCCTTTTTTAATGCCATGGCAGCTTGTATGTGAACTCAAAGGCAGAGGCATGACGTCAAAATGGCAGTTTCAGAATATCGGAATAACTCTTTTTGCCAAACTGCGTTTTGCACTTCATTTGCGGTGGCGCGAAATTAATTAAGTAATTAAGGCAATAACAACGCTGGCTGTCGTGCAACAGTGCGTATGCGTAATCGAATTCATTTGCGGCTGCCCAAGTTAATCCCTGGATTTTCACATGATGGCTATGAGCACTGACAAACTTTGGATCGCAGAGTTGAATGAATTGCTGACGCAAATGAGGCAGTTTTTAGATGGCAAATAACTGAAGGAAGGGTCATAATTAAACAGGATGCTCTTCTGTACTTCTTAGCCTCCGGGGACTCGTTTCTGCGCGATTCAGTGGCCATTTATTTGACTTAGTTCCGACTTGAGCCATATTCTTGGGCATCCGGCATTATGCGCATACTTGAGCCATCATCACTCCGTTAGACGAATCCTGGCAGGACGACTCCTTGAGTGAAATTAACGCCGGCCATAAAGAAGTCTGAATATTTTATGGTCCACTGGCAGCCTGTTGCTTCGTCGGACACCGGCGAGTGCATCACTTATTCATGGCCAGGAATGCGGCAAGTAGCTCGTCCTTAAAGCCGCCTCTTTGAAGCCGTCTTATTACTTAGGCAGTCCGCAACCCAAGAATCCCCCACCGATAGCAAGTGTTTGCCTTGGCTGAAGGATTACCACCGGATCTCCTGCCGCGATGCCGAAAGTCAATATTTGCCTGACCCCCGAAAAGGGATTCCATTTTGTCAGGTGCTGGCTTCCTTGGTGTCGCTAAGCGAACTTTTAATCAACTCCCAAGTATTTCTGGCATCTTAATTCCTGGCAGTGGCATGCGAGGACCTGATTCGCATATCCTTTGCTAATTAGCGGCTTTTCTGGAGCTGGAGCGCTGGGAACAAAGGAATCTGGCGCCTGGCGCGACCTTGAGGGCTAATTTCCTGAGTTCTGAATAATGGCAAAAAGTACTGGATTCACCAAGGAACAATAGACTCATTAATCAAATCACGCGACCTCCTAGCTGCCAAAGCTCCAAAATAAAAAACTAATTGAATATTCCGGTTTTTTAATGGCGGCATTCTTAAGCGGTTAGATATTCAAGGCAGGATTTCGAAAATTCCTAATTTCCTAATTATTTCAGCAACAAAGCTTAAAGAAAGTTTAAATTGTTTATTTAAATGAGCCATCAATGCAAATAAGGGAAATTAAATATACAGGAACAAGTCAATTATGAAAGCGAAAGTTATTTTTGCAATGCCATATAATTTCAAGCGCTGTGCTAATAAAAGCCCAGCATTCAATACCCATAAATGCAGGAATGCAAGTTCAATAGCGGCCAAGGGGAAGGACTTCCACTTACCGGGTTTCTTCGAGGGATTGTCACAATGCCCAAAGAACTTTTCTATTTTTGCCAATGCCCCCGCGCCGCCCACAAACTTTCAGCTTTCAGCTCATTGAAAGAAGTCCTCCCATCTCCGTGGCAACTTTGGGATGGCCAACCAGGTCCAGGTCCCAATGGGTCCTTTGATGGAGCAGCTGGCGCATCCTGCGATTCGCTTGGCTTGACAACAGGCGTCCAGCGGCACATTTCATCCACCGAATCCGAAATTCCGATGCCAGCATTGTGATTATGCAAATCAGGCCGCTGCCAAGTGTGTTTTCAAAGGGATCATGTTTATTATTTATTTACAGCCTGTTGACAGTTTATCCAGACTCTGGCTGAAAGATTTGTGACGTCAGGCTGGCAATCCTGGGCTTTGGCTATTCGATGGCCAATCTCGCCCCGGGACGGAGGATTAAAGTTGCCACTAATTGACAGTTCCATAACACCCGACGACTCGTTAAAGCCAAAGCTCGAGTGTTGCGCAAACAAATGTCCCAAAAGCCGAATAGCGCCGGCCAAAACTTTTTGGCCTTAACGCAATTATTTCTGCGCGCGGCCAATGCGTCACCATTTATCAATTTCCCAGCGGGCTGGGTGCGATTTCAATTAACGCGAAAATCTGAAAAAACCTTACCGCTAATCAATCATAAGCAGGGAAAAGCGGAGCGCAAAAAATCTGCGTCGCAGGCTGAGTGGTTTTTGTTAATAAAAAGTTTTAACTTTTGCTTCAAATTTCCGCAGCTCCCTCGAAATATATGTATATGTACATGTATATCCTTCTGGGCTGAGCACGTCCTGGGCGTCATCTGCTCGATTTCTGTTTATTGGAGAATCGTGTGTGGTAGTTTAATTAAAACCGGCTATTGTCCTCCGCCCGGACGACCTCTTGGCCCCCGCACCCAGCACTCTGCAGTTGCATTGTGGACTGAGCCCTAAGTGCCGCATTAGCTGCCCCCCGCGATGAGTTCTTTCTTTCGAAACAACTACAGAAGTCGGCGGACATTAGCCGCCAAGGACATCCCGCTGATCCTTTGGCCCGCCTCCTGGATGTTCTGCTGGATGTATCTGCTTTGTGCGGACTGGCACGGCAGGATGCTCCACTTCAACTTGAACATTGGGATAACTGCAAGGCCTTAAGTTTAGATTAGTTTGCTATACTTGCAACGTATTTCCATGCCTCACAGACAGCACAGTTTAGCCGCCTTTTGCCCAGTGCATGCCCCTAATTTCCCTGCCTTTTTTCTCTTTCAGGCCTGGCCCAGTGTGAAGCGGTCCTTTGAGCTTTTCCCCAACCCTGCGGTGCCGCACAATGTGCACACGGTCTCAGGTAAGTTGCGATTCTCATGTGCGGCGTGGAAAGCGGGGGTGGAAAACTTTTTAGTCAAGCGCCCTCGGCGGAAAATGGGAAATGCACTTTGGCGGCAGCGCAGCGACAGCGACAAGTTTAAGGCGCTTTCTAAACCTTGTTTACTTGTCTCTCAAATTGATTTCTGCATAAGTTGCGAGCGCTGCTTGCAAAATGCCTTGCAATCCCTGGGCACCCGGGGCGTATGCGCAATTTGTGTAGCCCAGCAACCCGAATATATTGCCCATTAAAATTCAAATCAAAGTGCACTCCACTTATTGTTCAGCCCCCCGCTCCATGGCCAAACTCATTCAAACTGACCCAAACTGCCCAAATGGAAAGGAAAGATTACAAACTTGTGGCCACTCGATGGATATTGTGATTCTTGTGATTCCTGCGAACGAAACTTGATGAAATCCAATGCCCCATGTATGGCCAGCAACTCGTGCCAACCTCAATTGGCCTAATCCCTCTGCCAGCCAACCCCCGCATTTTCCACCCATTGCCCTCCTCCCAGGGGAAAGCCATCGTCAGAGCAACCGCATGTCGCAGGTTCCAATAGATGGAAAGTTGCATCAGTCCCACAGTCCCGGAGTCAGGTGGAACATCAAACATCACAGATCTGTGGCACTGCCGACTTATAATTGCTTTTATTTATAGTCAGAACAGCGTTCATTTGGGGGAGGGAAAAGGGGCGGGTCAGCTTAATGACGTCACTTTCAGAAATAGCTACACAATTTCGAAGGACAAATGGAAAACCAGTCTAATCTGGGGGATAACAAGGAGGAACGCAGGTCGCCCAGATATTTTGCAGTTATGGGAAAAGTTACAATTATGAAAAAAGTTCACAGCGCAGAGTTCAGCAAGCTATTCAAAATAATTGAAAGGCTTCCGGGAAAAATGTTGTATTGAAGCTCAAAGCGCCTTACAAAAAGGAAGAACTTAATATTTTATGATTACTTATTAACTAGCAGCCACTTTGCGAGCGATTATTTAATCATAATGCCCAATTACTTATGCATCGAGCTGTTTTATTGTATTGATATGGATATGTTGGGCCGAAAGCCGCCACTCGAAGGCAATTAGCGAGTGTCATAAACAAATTGGCGCCAAGTGCCAGGACGCGGGCCACCTGCACCCACCTCCACCATGCGTCCCAGCAAGGGACACACGTACGAGTACGAGGACACACACGAGGACACTCCAAGTATGTGACATGCATGTCAAGGGGGCACAAAAAATAAGTCAAATAGCAGTTTAATTGTTTTTCGACCCGGTTTGCTGGATGTCAGGGAGCAAGAGGTCATAAAAATCGTACGAGTGGGTGAACCGGCTAATAATGCCGGCCATAAATCAGCCAACAACTAGGGCCGGCATTAAGTGGATGCGCATGATAAATTAATTGTTGCCCAGCAGCCGAGTTGCCAGCAATCAAAGGGGCTTTCAATAGCCCACCCCTAATCGCGCGTCATCTCCAGGGTATCGTGGAAATTGGCCAAGACAAATTGGTTTCGGATTCGGTACAGCTCGAAGGCGGCCAGTGCATTGGGTGCACTGCGCGGAATGCGGAATACTTGCAGCTGAGTCTCTGGCCCAAATGTAGCTGCAGACTTCTGTTACCAGTTTCCCCCAGTGCCGAGCCATTAACTCCAGCCCCCGGGCTTTCTCCCCTTCCGCAGATTGCATGCATGTGGCCTCCGAGGCAGGTGACTACATCTTCAAGAAGCTCAACCCCCTCAACTCGGCGCTCAACCGGGAGGCCGTGCTGCTGGAGCTGGAGGCGGCAGGAGCAGCTGGAGCAGCAGGAGTGGGAGTGGTTCCGGGACAAGGAGCAGCAGCAGCAGCAGCTGGCACGACAGCAGATGTCCAGGAACTGCAGCCCGAGGTCTGTGGGCTGTATGTGATTGGGGAGCCAGACACGATTGTGGAGATTACAATGAAGCACTACGACGCGAACTGCGAGACAGGAGCCCTAATGGCGGTAAGTGCTCCGGAGGGCCACTAAATTACTGAATTTATGCCCCAGTGTGACGCACTTTCCCCGGCAGTTTGTCGACGGCTGGGAGCTGAATGGCGAGTACTTTCCGGGCATTAAGGATCACCATCGACCGCTGGAGCAGCGGGTTTACGAGTTCTGCAACAACTACAGACAATGGTGGGTGGTAGTGGCACAGTGTTCCTTGGTCCTAATCCCATTTTTGTGCAGGCCGCGAGTTGGCAACAAGAAGTTCTTCCGTTCGAGCCAGAACGCCGCCTTGCTCCAGTACCGGATTCCTGTGCGCGGCTCCTTCGTGGCCAATGTGCGGTTCCACAAGATCACGCAACGTAGGTGCAGCATTGCCCCGTAGTGTCGTATTTAAAGAAGGCGCCTTTCTCCTTGTTTCAGCCTGCAACGTGCTGGTCCAGGACACGGCTGCCATGTACAAGATGACCAACTTTGGCCAGGCTCGCAACTGCACCATCTCGGCGCTCTTTCCGGCCGTGGTCTCGCTGGCCAGCCTGCGGATCGGCGGCAAGGGTGTGCGGGCCCAGCCGAAGGTCAACTACGATGTGGGTACAGCCCTTGAGTCAGCCCCCTTCCCCAACTAAAACAACCTTTCTCCCAACCAGTGCCAACTGCCCAGCGATCGCTTGGAGATCGGCGGTTCCGCCGGCCTGGACGCCATCGGCATGGAGCAGGCCAGTGCCGTGTGCGGCGCCTCCAGTGACTTGGGTCCCGAGCAGGCCATCTTCTGCGGCGTGAGCACCGTGCGGCTGGTGTCCTCCGGCCGCTACCAGAACCAGGCGGCCATTGTCCTGCGCAAGGCCGATGTGCCGGATATGGACATCGCCACGCTCATCTGTGCGCTCTAAGTGCGCCCGGCGAGCTGGGACCCTGTCCAAAAGTGTACATGTTTGTAAATGATAAAAGCAGCCCAGAGCAGTGGACGACTCCTACCCGGACGCCATCGTAGTGCTTAAACCTAACTCTTAACTTAATCCAGCTAATTCGCAAAGTATTCGCTACCCGAGAGGCATCTTAGGTAATATATATATACATGTATATCGAACATTCTGAGTGTTGACTACAAGCAGCGTGTGTGTTTATTACTGGGTATTCAATAATCTCCAAGGGCTTCGCGCCTTTTATGCCCCTCGATTATCGCGGTCGATAATCTTAACCAGGCGTTAAGAATAGACGGGGCCACTGATAAGGCTTATCCAAGCAGCTTGGATGCGGCCAAAAGCGCCAGCAAGGAGGCCAAGCTGAACGCGGATAGTCCAGCAGCACCACCTCCGTTGCCGTCATCCGCATCCGGCTCCTTCTCCAACTGGAAGTAAGATGTGCAATTAACTGGTAAGTGGGGAATCCCATGAGGCACTCACGCTCTCGGCCAGAATGGCCTGAAGTTCCCTGCAGCGCGTGCGCTCCTGGTAATTACTGGTGGCCATCCTGCAAATCGTCTGGCTCAGACAGGCGCTATCACAGCCCTCGGCCAGCTTGGGATCAGAGTTGGTGAACTTGTACCTCCAGAACTTCCTGAGCAAGTCGGGCTGCTCGGCCATTTCCACCAGCAGGCGATCGATGCCCGCGGGACTGGTGTCCTTGGTGTACTCGCTGGTGAACTGGTACTCCAGCGCCCACTTGGGCTGCTCGCTGGGCGTGAGGTTGGCCTCCGTCAGGTTGAATGTGTAGGTGTGGTGGTCCAGAACCTGCCAGTCCTCAGGGTGGAGCTCGTACAGCCGGTAGTTGGGATTCTTGTTCGAGTAGGTGGTCAGACTGCCGCCATTCCAGTTGACCACCGTGGCATAGCCGTTCTCGGAGTAATGCAGATTCATCTCGTCCTTGTGGGTGTGACCACTGAAGACGCCAGTGATGATGCCATTGAAGCGGGTGAGAACCCTGTTGTACTCCCGAGCCCAGCTGCTCCAGCAGTCGCCATCTCCAGCGGGAATGTGGCTCAGGACGTGGACCGATTCGCCCGCCTCCTCCGCCGACAACAGCGTATCGTGGAACCACTGCAGCTGCTCCTGAATCAATGTGGCATTATAGTACAGCCACCAGTTGAACAGGTAGCAGTCCATGCTGTTCAGCGCCACAATCCTGTGCCCTTTGCTCGGCGATGCGGTGTAGTATCCTCCTCGCAAAACGGTCTTCTCCGCCTCGGCGGGCAGCCACTTGGACCACAAGCTCCACACGTGCTCATAGAGCCAGTCGACCTTCAGGGCGCTGGGTACCTCGTCGTTGCCGAAGCTACAGAAAGAGGTGTGCAACAATTAAAAATGTGATTTAAACTTTAAATTCAGCTATGCAACTAGCAACTTATTGCTGCCCAGCATTCGCTTAAAAACCGATAACTTGAAACTTGGGTGGATTATTTGTAGGATGGCATTTCACATTGTCCCTATTAGCAATTGTAAATATTTACTATGGGCACCCAGTGACACTTTATGGGTTTCCTGGGGTGGCAAATTCTTGCAATAAACTTTATCGGAGCGGAAAATACAGAAGTTCACTAGAAGTATCGGTGATCAGCCTAATGGAAGTTTATCTAAATAACAGTAGTATAATTTTATACTTGTGTTTGGAAACTACTATAAATGGTTGCAATGACCTCCAACCGTATTGTTCAGGAGTTCCAGAGGATTGGGATGAGCAAAAATAGGCGAGACATAGCCACATAAGGTTTTTGGGGTCAGAATTAATAACCAACAACAGCCAAATAACCCACTATTATGGCTGCGGATTCGTTGCTTTGAAGTTTTCCCCTCTGGGTCATTAGCTTAATAAAGTTGATGGACTGCAAATTACGGGTACTCACATATTTGCCGGATGGGGCTCGTGGTTTCCCAGACAAGGGTAGATGGGCGTGGTCGGGAAGTACTTGGCCAGCAGTTCGTCGATTTCGGACAGCATGTCGAGGTTACCCTGTTTGGTGGTGGACCAGACATTGTGGGGCGGCACGTCCCCAGTGTGATATATCCACTCGATCTTGTGGTTGTCCCTGATGTGCTCGAAAGCACTCAGGATGAGGCGCTTGGGGCAGTCACAATCACGGTAATCGGACCAAAAGCCAGCGGCTGCCGAGGAATCAGATCCTACGGCCAAGGGATTTCGACAGCACATGGGCTCATCGCAAGCTGCATTGCTGCCCTCGGCGTATTCGGGATCGTAGTGGATGTCGGTCAGGTGCAGGACGAGAATGTCCTCAGAGGTCTTGGCGTGCAAGTTCGAGTTCGATTCCCTGGGCAAGTCGCCCTGGATGGTCAAGGTGAGATTGTATTCGTCCTGCTGCGCCTGACAAATCGGAATGGGCAGCATGCTGCAAAAGGTGTTCGACTTGGCCACAGTTTCGTTCAGAATGAAGTCGAAAATGGGCCAGTTGAGGTCGAACAGTCCAGAGCACACCTCCTGGGTGCTGAGGGCAAAGTAGTCGCACATGCCCAGCGCCAGTTTCTTCGCCTCCTCCTGCCTCTCCGGACCACTCAGCTCGCCCTCGGTGAAAGTTCGAGCAAACACGTTGACGGTGGATCTGCACAGGGTGCAGGCGAAGAACTGGTCCGCGGCGGTCAGATCGGCCATGGATTCCGTGAAAATGGCCTTCTTGCTGTGGCTACTCCGGATGTCCTTTCCCAGCTGCTGTAGCCGCTCCGTCTCGATGCCCGTTCGGTGGTACTTCAGGTACTCACGGCTTATCTCCTCCGCTATGCTGGCTGCAAAACACAATCACGACTGTCAATGGGTGCACTTCATACTGTCAGCTGCGATTATCTTTTCAAAACAGCAAGCATTCGGACGCATTAACTATCTGATCCACACCATTCATGTGGTGATAGGCGTTTCAACTTATTAGAAACAGTTTATTGATACTGATAACGAAGGTCTCCTTCTTTGGAGGCACAAGCTCAACGGGTTTATTATTACTATACCATTAACACACCTGAAACGAGGGATGTGGTCCGCTGTTCCTTGGTCAGGACGTCGAAAGCGGACGGCAGGCTGAACGCCCCGCACACGGCGAGTAAAATGCCGACGCCCAACAGAGTTGTGCCCCGGATCAACTTCATGGCGAGACTGCTTACGGGATTGAAGTCGAGCCCCCTACTTATAGCTTCATATCACCGCTATCAGCTTGGCCACTTATCAGATGCGATGATATCGCACAACGAATTTATGTGGTCAACTGCCCATGCAAACTGAAGTTCGGAAACTGCCTTCTTTAGCAACTATTGGCTTGGCTATGTTCTTAAGTTGGTAGTAAAGTTGGGGTATGAGACGACTATGTAGTACTATTAATTCGAAGAAGACCGAAAGCATCTATACAATCAGTAGTACCGAACTCGGTACACCTGACCTCGAGTTAGCTAAAGGTCTAAACACAAATAGGAACACAAATTGTTTATTAGGATCTAAATTAAAAACTGCATCCAATAGTGAGTCAGATTATGGCATGATCCTGCACAATTGATCCCGATTCTTAGCTGAATCGATGTGTCGTAAATGCTTACATAAAAGAATCGTGTGCACGTGCTTAAACTTATCCGTAGTTCAATATTCAGCTAAACGCTGTAGCCAGCTGCTTGTTTTATGGCCAGCACGGTTTAATAAACTCATTTTCCCTAATCGCCATTAGGCGATAAGGGAACCGGCTGAAAAACAAAGTCCCTCGACAAAAATCAGCAGATTAGCTTCGATAGGGATAAGCGCATACTTCTATTTGCCACTTGAGAGGGGCCACTTTTAGAATGGAATCCATTCGGTTTATATAACTTAGGGGTACAAATGAGGATTACTACAGGGCTAGGCGGACGGAGAGGACTATGGCCAGCAAGGAGCTGGCGCTGAGCAGTCCCAGAGTGGAGGCTCCGCCACCGTTGTCGTCGTTATCACCTGGACCTGGAGTGATGACCTCACTGCCTCCCGACGTCGTGCTTTCCTCATTGTCCAGCTGAGGGCGGAGAATCATCAGTATCTATCTAGTACTTGGAAGTAGTAGCAGAGTAACTTACCGAGACGAACAACTTCTCACGGAGCTCCTCGCAGCGTCCTCGCTGGGAATTGATGGTCACAGCAGCTCGGCAAAGGGATCCTGCCAAGCAGTTGCGATCACAGCCTCCATTCACCTGGGGATCAGCTGAGGTCACTCGGTAGCGCCAGTACTACACATGAAACGGGCATTATGAGCGGGGAGCTCTATGTCTAGAGATGATCTCAGCTCACCTTTCTCATCAGGGCGGGATTCTCGGCGAACTCATCGAGCAGCTTGTCGATGCCGGCCGGACTCATGTCCTCGGTAAACTCCTTGATGAACTCGTACTCCAGGAACCACTCGGGCTGCTCATCGGGCTTCAGATTGGCAGCAGTCAGATTGTAAATCCAGGTCCAGTGGTTGGTCACAGTGTAGGTTTCGGGATTCACGGCGTACTCCCGGTAGTTGGGGTTCTTGTTGGAGTAGGTGGTAACAGCACCGCCGTTCCAGGCCACTGCGGTGGCGTGTCCCTCGTCCTCCGAGTAGTAGACAAACAGCTCGTCCTTGTGCGAGTGTCCTGTGAAGATGCCACTAATCGTGGAGCTGAAGCGCGTGATGCAGCGGTTGAATTCCCGCGCCCAAACCGACCAGCAGGTTCCATCGCCCGACGGGATGTGGGTCAGCACGTGAACGTACTCCCCGTTCTTCTCGGCCTGCAATAGGGTGTCGTGGAACCACTGCAGCTGGGGTATCTTGTCCGTGCCACTGTGATACAACCAGAAGTTGTCCGTGTAGCAATCGTTGCTGTTCAGCGCGATGATGCGGAAGCCCTTCCTGGGCACCACCGTGTAGTAGCCTCCCTTGAGGATCGTCTCCTTGGTCTCAGCCGGCAGCCACTTGGACCAATCGTTGTACAGGTGCTCGTACAGCCACTTGGTGCTGATCTCATCTGGAACGCCCTCGGGACTGAAGCTGGAAAAGTCCAATAGTCGAGTTTGATAAGCAAGTGTATTGCAAATAGTTAAAAACACAATAAATTATTGGGCGCCGTGCACAAGGAAAATAAAGATTAGGACTATTATACCACTTATACATCCGGGTTAATCAAAGATTAGGAACTAACATGAAATTTGGATTGTAAGGACGCCATACTCACAGGTTGAGTGGATGAGGCTCGTGGTTGCCGATGCAGGGATAGACGGGCACATCTCCGAAGGCCGCGTTGAGTCGCTCACTGACCTTGGTCAGCACCATGGTGTTCTTCTCCACGGAGGTGGCCCACACCATGTGGTCCACAATGTCGCCGGTCTGGTAAACGAAGTCGCACTTGGAGTTGGCCACCGCGTTGTCCAAGGCTGACTCAAAGGCGTGCCAGGGCAGATCGCAGTCCCGGTAGTCGCCCCAGTATCCGGCTGCACCCTCGGTACCCTCGGTCGTCTCCTTGTGCCTCTGGCAGCACATGGGCTCGGCACAAGTGGCCAGACTGCCGGGAGTGTAGTAGGGATCGTGGTGAATGTCGGAGAACTGGCAGATCCTGATGTCGGAGTCCTTGAAGGTGGGAGTGTCCGACTTGGGTGCGGTCAAAGTCGCTCCAGTATTGTCCACAGGCAAAGTCCAATTGTAATCTTGATTGCTACCGGTGTTACAGAAGTTGAACTCCATGAACAGGGAGCAGAAGCTCTGGGAATCACTCTCGGAATTCCTCATGATGTACTCCACGGAGGGCAGGTTGGAATCGATCAAACCCTCGCAGACCTCCTCCGTTTGCAGATTCAAGCGGCGGCACGCATCCATGGCAAATGCCTTCATCAGAACGGAGCTATCCTCCCCATGGAGCTCGCCCTCCTCTTCGCGAATGGTGCGGATAAGAACGCGGATCACCGACCGACAGGCCACGCACACAAAGAAGCTATCCCTGGGCTCCAGATCCGGCATGTTCCTGGTGAATATATCCTTCTGACTGTGCGACTTGGCCAGCTGAGTGGTGAGCTTCACGAACTCGGGCGTCTCCACTCCTGTCTTCATAAAGGTAATGTACTCCTTGGCCAAGCGCTCGGATATATCGTCTGCGATGGCGGACAGGATGTGGTCGTCCAGGTCAAAATCCACGGGCACGCCCGGCAGGTTTACGGCGGAAACCACCAGGAAGCCGGTGGTCAAGGCGATCGCCAGCAGGATTCCGATTGACTTCATGGTTCGCGGAGCAACTGGAGAATAGTTTCCACCTGTGGGGCCATTTATAGCCTTCGGTTATCTCTCCACCAGTAGCCAACCCATTAAGCAGACCGATAAAACCCATTCAAACGAGAGATTAGCCTAATCGCGAATAGTAGAATTTTTATGTGCATATATTTTTGGCCCAAGAAGTGGCCACAATCTGCCTTCGGTGGGGCAGAATTCCAAATATACGTTAAAGTGTCTGTTTTGACCATTTACCACAAATCTGCATTCAACAGGTTAGGCTACATATTTCTACAAGTTCGATTTCATTTACCATAAACTAGATACTTTTAACTAAATAAAAATAACAGTATGATTTGCTAGAAATCGCTACAGATATTATTATTAGGCTAAGCCTCATAAGAAAAAGAGTATTGCTCAGCCAAACACAGCAATCGTTCGCTGAATTGTTTCATGTAAAACGAAACTGATTAGGCTGCAATCTAAGATTCAAGTGAAAATTTGAATTTGTAGGATTTAGCCGCGCAACTGGATAGGTGTGACCGTGCGCGGGTACTGAGCGCAGCAAGGCATTGCCCCTCCGCGGCGTCCGCCTGGTCCCACCACCAGCGCGCGGCATGGTCACACTGCACAAGCGAGTGATTTATAAATATTCGAAGAGGCAGGGCGATAATTATAATTGAAGCAGCGTTCTGAGATGCCAGCCGAAGTCCAGGCCAGGCTGTGAGTGTTCAGGATCGGCCGAGAGCAGGAGCGCACCCACTGCGGGATTTGCAGCGGCTTACCAGCCAGGATTACCAGCCTCCGAACCCACGGGCAACAACAAAAGACTCCCGAGCAGTGACGCCATTTTCATTGCGAATAACGAGCAGGTGGGGCAGACAATAGATATACCCCTTAAAGAGCCACATAATACCTGCTGAGAGCAGAGAGCACAGAGCACAGTGGCCAGTTGCCGTTCAGGATGAGCAGCCTGATCAACTTCCTCAATCCGAAGCTGAAGCCCTCCGTGGAGAGCGACGCCGTCTGCGAGGATGGGTACACTGCAGCCAATCTGGTGGCCGACGACATCGAGCAGCTGGAGCGGGGATTCATGTGCTTCGGCGTCTGCAAGCCGCCCATAGAGATTGTCTTCGACTTTCCCAAGGCGGTGGACATGAAGGTCATTAAGCTGTGGCCCTCCTGCGGTGCCCTACGATCCACCGCGTTCGAGCTGCATGGACGACACGATGGCATCTGGGAGCGGGTGGCCTTTGTGCGCGATCTGGGGCGTGGCGTGGATTCGGTGACCTTCTGCTACCAGAGCGACTACAACTCGCGGAGCAGCTCCAACTCGGAGCAGAGCGAGAAGGTGTTCTTCTTCAAGTCCGCCCACAAAATCCTGGCCAGCACGAACAGCGTCAAGGTGGTGATCCGGGCCACAGAGCGCTGTCCTCCGGTGCTGCGGAAAGTTCAGATGTGGGGACTACCCGCCCGCTCGCTGGACAAGGCCGACCGGGAGCTGGTGAAGACCATCTGGAGCGAGATAAGCGATCCCTACGGCCAGAGGGACGCGGCACAGACGCCCACCGGGCAGAGATCCCCACCGCGAAATGTTCCAGAGCTCAGGGAGCAGTCAACGCTCTCCATTCCAGAAGAGTTCCTCGACTCCATCACCTGGGAGCTAATGGTAAGTATCCTTCGAGCTCAGAAAATCATACTTTTTTATGGTTAAGTTATAGCAGTACAACTCAATACATATCCACGATTCAGCGAATGCCACAGCGTCTCTTTTATCTGAGTAAGGATTCTAGAAAATTTCGTTCCAAGGAATCAATAATTTTGCACTGATTATAAGTATATCTAGTAATAGTTTTTGTACAATTTTTCTGAATCATTCTTCCAAGCGCTCACTAATTACGCCTTTATCAAAGTCTAACGTAAACTAAATTGAATTATAATGTCCAAAACACAACAAGACGTAAATATAAAGATAGGAGTCTGCTATTTAAAAGGTTTACTCTGTAGCTCTCCTTATCAATTCTCCCCTTGCTTCTCCAGATCTTCCCCACCGTGCTGCCCTCTGGAAAAGTTGTGGACCAGTCCACCATCGACAAGCACGCCGAGGAGGAGGCCAAGTGGGGGCGCCAGCCATCGGATCCGTTCACTGGCCTGGAGTTCAATGCGCAACGCAAGGCGATTCTCAATCTGGCCTTAAAGGCGCGCATCGAGAAGTTCCTCATGGAGAACTCGGAGCACTTCAAGGCGGTGCCCCGTTCGCTGGGCACCTCTCGCCAGCGTCGTCGTCACGCCTCGCAGTTCGCCAGCAGCACCTGCCAGCCGGGACAGATAAGTCCGGCTGCGGGAACCTATTCGGCACTTAGCAGCGCCTACAAGCAGCAGCAGCGGAAGAGCAGGGCCACTGCCACGGCCACATGCTCATCGGCGGCATTCTTCGGGGGATCGCCGCACTCGCCGCCGGCGGCCAAGAGAGCAAGGCACAGTCATCATGGCAGCGCCTGTGCCACGGTGACCTCGACCACAACCTCCATCGACCAGGCCATTCAGCAGGCGCTGCAGAAGGTCACGCGCTTCAGCCAGTTGGCATCGAACTCCAGCGCAGGCTCGGGATCCTCAAGCGCTCCTCCCGCCAGCTGCATCAACTGCCGGAGCGCGCAGTTCGGCTACGAGATCCGCACCTGCCGCCATCTGGTCTGCCGGGAGTGCCTGGTGCTCCTCTCGCAGGATCAGCAGTGCGTGTGCAAAGTATTCTTCCGCTGCGCCGACGTGGAGCGCTACCACAAGCTGGATCCTTAAGAGCTTCCCCGCACTTTTCGCAATCGACCAACTGCCATCGATTGCCGCAATAAGTTTGGTTCTCCCCATTTCGTTCAGTTTGTAAGCCAGTCAATCGCTTTAGCCCCTAGGCCTCGTCTACGTTAGGTTATAGTCATATCAGAGTCGGTCTGGTCGCAGAATCGCAAATCGCAGTTAAGCCAAATGTGTACACGCGCGAGTCTTTCCCGATTCGGCAGTATGTATCAGTATCAGGTCACGTTTAGTCATAGAGCAGATTACGGATTACCGATTAGCAATAGAGAGTGCGCGCCTAGTTTTTGTAGACACTTTATATACAGTCCCCGAAAGACAGGATCGTTCAGCGCGAGTTTATATATTCATACCAATTCTACCTAGAATAAAGTACAATAAAACCTAAGTCGAGTGTGTAATCAATGGAGAGTAGCAGCGTTATATTTCGCGGTTTGGCATTCATTATAATTCAAAGTCATTTCAATAAAATGCGTTTCTGTTAAGTTGCAACTGTCTAAAATCGAAAAATAAGTTTTAGTTGTAATCGCTTTCATTTCAATGGACACCAATGTCCAATATTTATTTGTACTGTTTATTGTTAATTTTGCATCGGAAATAGTTATGTATAATTTTATGCATTGTGTATTAAAGCCCAATTTTTTATTACTACTCTCAATAAAATAAAGTAAAACATTATGGTTTTTAATTTGCTCACAGCTGCCAATTGGGTATTAAGAAATAGGTATTTTAAAAAGGCCTTAAATATAAAAGTAATTTTGCACATTATTATTTACATTATCTTTACTAATTATCTACAAAATCTTGTTGCGCCCTCTATGGGCACGCTCCTGGTACTAGCTCCCTAATTCGTGTGTTATCGATATCGAAGAGCACAGCTGCTTGCATTTCTGCGACATTTCAAACTTTATACTTTTGGATCGTAATTTTTCCTGTTTTGTGATGCCTGGTGAGGCAAATAACACGCCCCAATCCGGCCGGAGACCCCGACTCGGATTGAGTAGGCGTGGCTGCCAGTCCACGCCTTTGATACGCCTCCAGAGAGAGGATTCCGCCGCAAATACACCAAAATTCGGAGAACAGGAGACTCCGCGGGCTCAGCCTTTATCACTGAGCTCTCGCAGGATAGGATTGTCCAGGAACAGGACGGGATTGTCCAAGAAGAAGCTGGAGTTCGCTGCGGCCCAGGGAATCAAGGACGAGCAACAGGTAGTGACGAAACCAGCAAGAAAGGATGATAGGGAGAGAAGATGGGATGCTCAAGAGACTTCCAATGAGCCAGAGGAGAAACAGGAGCAGGACAACCGTAAGAAGCAGGCGGAAAACAGTCCAAAGAGCAGTAAAATCATTGAGCTGCAGGGCGACATAGAAATCTGGCACCAGGCATTCAAAGCTTCTGTGGACGACCTGCTGACGATGGCGGAGCCAGGACTCTCAAAGAACGAACTCCTTATCCGGCTGGGCATTCCCCATGAGATGCTGCGCTATCTGGAGGAGGAGTGTTCGTAGTTAAACATAGTTTTACGATTTAACATTAAGAAACTCTATATTCCCATTGCAATAAAAAGGAAACTAAAAGTTATCAGAAACCTAGTACTTGTGTGGGCGGACGGGCCGCTCGGGATCAAACAGCTTGGGGTCCTGCAGGAAGTCGAGGTCCTTGTGGTAGCCTGGCATCAGCAGGCAGTGCTGGGCACGCAGAATGGCCTGCTCCACTTGCTCCTGCCGGCGCTTGCATAATCCGGTGATGTGACGCCCATAAATGCGACCCGTGTAGGGCGATTGGAATTGGGAAAGCAGCTTCACGTTCTTGTAGTGCGGCTCGATGCCGTGCTTGCACAGGATGCACTGCTGGGGTTCCTTTTCATATGGATTCGTTATGTCAATTGGAAAATCCGAGTCGCTTGATTCCGGGGCAGCTGAATACAGGCGGCTGGCGGCTCCCAGCTGCTGTCTGCCCACCAGGTTGACCAACGTGGCTGTGGAATAAATTATTATTACCAGTTTAATACATTTTCCAACCGTTTCACTCACCTTTTTGCGCCAGAAACTTTCCTAGCTTCAACATGCTAAGTATTTTTATTTCCAATATTTACCTCGTGTTATCGCAGAACGATATCGATATACAGACAGACTGAACAGCTGTGTTGCAGTGTTGGTGAATGCCAGATGGAAACATGCGTGCATGCATCGATAAATCGATTAGTTCGCTGCCAAAAAATTAATAAAAACACAAAAATGAAACCGAGATCACAAAAAGGTCAAGGAAAACCCAATGGAAAACCAAACAAAGGTCCTGGCAAGGTGGCCCATAATCAAAAGCCCTACTTCAAGAACAAGAACAAACAAAAGGCAAAAGGGGTAAGCGAGAAAATCAAGCATGTATATGGAAATGGTATACACCACACATGGTTTTGCTTTTTTTCCGCCAGGATAAGCCAAATAAACCGGAGATTCGCAATCTAAAGCGCAAGGAAAAGGCTGCCCAGGAGGCTGCGCAGCGGGAGAAAGTCAGGGCGGAGCGGGATGCCCAGGTGAAGGCCTATAAAAAGAAGCGTTTGGAGAAAACCAAGGCCATCAACAAAAGGACCCATAAAGGACAGCCCTTGATGAAGGATCGCATGCAGCTGCTTCTGAAACAGATCGAGGATATGAAGCGCAACTAAGTGAGTCGCGGGAACACTTCCTCAGAATCACTGATTACGTAGGAACACCATCAGCCTCAGAATCAGTTGCTCATTTAAAAATGTCGTGTACATAGAATTGTTTACGTTTAGAGTAGGCTTACTTTAATTTTAATTAAAACAAATTGTTTTCCACAACAATATTCTTTTGAAAAATGTTATCGAACTATGTTTTTCTAAGGTCTTTCAGTGCATTCTTTATTTATGTATTATAAGTACCTAAAATCATTATTTTTCTGTATTTGTAGTATATGTTTTCTCTATAAATGATTTTCTTTCCTTTATTCTAGTTTGCTTAAGACCCACTGACTGCATATTCGCTATAATACACTTTAGTTCACTTTATGTTCACAAATGTTCACTTTTCGCTGAAGAAGAATCTTTAGGAGTCTCTTAAGGAGCAAGAATCATTTAACAAAGGATAGTTACAACCACTAAATGGCCGTCAGCCGGGTGATGGACAGGGGGAGCCACACGCACCATCCGGACCTCGAAATCCGATGGACGTGCCGTAACTGTCTGTACACCCGGAAGTGCGACTACACTCTCCTCGTGAGGGCGGCCGGAAACAGGAACCGCGGCAAGGTCATGTCTCTGCCGAAGGGTCCTGGCGAATGGTAGTCGGGCGAAGAGAAGACAACTCTGGAAGATCACCCCAATCCAAGACGGCACAGCCAGCGTCGAGGGATGTGTGGCCGAGGGGGAACTCGGTCTCTAGCAGGCGGACTCTGCGCACCTGTCCACCCGCAGTTTCAATTCGGACTTCCTGCGGCACCTCGGGCTCTGTCGTGGGCGACCTCCGTTCCCGTGCACTCGTGGGAACCAAATGAACAGTCTAGAAGTAAATGAGTCTGATGCTGCTCCAGAAGCATCACCCAACCAGAATCCTTCGGTGGATTCGGGTCCTGGCTTTGTCAGGCTGACAACCAAGCAAAAGAAGCTGCTGCGAAAGGCCCTTCAAGGTGGGCTGACCAGAGAAAAGGCTCTGGAGGTGGTGCAAGCTCTTCCCATAGTTAAGGGGCTACTACCCGCTCCTTACGGAATCCAAGCCACCAATCCCTACCCCTACTCGGTTTTTGTTCAGTGCGTGCGAATCGGTTTGGCTGCGGAGTCTGCTGGGACTTCTCTGACCAGCGAGCAAATGGCCAGGATCAAGGAGGCCATCATAGATGTCACCGTGGAGCAGTCTGGCAGCCAGAAGCCGCAGTTCGAAGGATGTGTGGCGCGCAGAGGATGGCTCCTTGTGACTTGCTCCAACTCCTCCACCTCAGAATGGTTCAAGCGAAACTTTTGCCATATTCAGGCGAAAGTAGCCACCAAACTGAAGTTAATGGATGAGTCTGAACTGCCCAGAAAGAACGTGGTCCTCGGCTATTTTCCAGATAGTCTATCCACAAGCAGCCAGAAGGTCCTGGAAATCATTCAGGCCCAGAACCCAGTCTCAACGGCGGAATGGCGGGTTATGCAGAGGTTGACCCACGGTGAGCTTCTGCATCTCGCCATGGCCGTTGACAATGAATCCCACAAGAAACTGGTCGCACTAAACGGAACTATATCCTATCGATTCGGCCGTGTAAAACTATGCATGAAAAACCCTCTCGATAGGAAATCAGTACCAAATGGTAGAAGAGAAACATCGTGTGCAGCGCCAGATGGAAAATCCCTGGAGAAAGCTGTTGAAACTCGGGAAGTGGTGCCTGTACGTCATGATAATCCATGGAAGCAATGTAATAATCCTGGGCTAAGCCATAATAATCCCAGGATGCAATGGAATCAACAGCATATGCTCAGGTATGATCCTTACAATCCCAGGGAACTTCCGTCGTACCTTGTGCGCGCCAGCTATTCAGGACCAGGCTATTGGAGTGAAGGAAACAGGGGACTTGGACCTCGATCTTGGCCAGGAAACTACTGAAGCAGAGGGTTCCAACTGCACAGGAAGTAAGTTGCTACTTTAGGCGTAGGCTAAACTACTAGACTAGATTGCTAGCATGGTTTTCTGACAAAGATGACAAGTTCTTCGGACTAACAAAATATCTTTTCTTCAGGATCTTTAATCGGGGAAACATCCATCTTAAGGAAGTACAGCGACTTGTTCTCCATTTTTAGCAACGTAACTTGAGGTATTTAGAGTTTTTGACAAGTAGACATTTATACAGGACTCCTCCAACTTCAAAGAGGACTCTTTTTAACCCATAACACCAGTTCAGATTGACTTTGCTTACAGCATTCGAAACAATATGATACAGTAACACTGGTTACACTCATTTACCAAGGATCTATTCACTGAAAACACTATAATACCGTAACACTGGTTACACTTAGAGGATCTCGATGACTTATAATACCTTGTAGTACAAAAATCATCAAGGGGAACTCAAAGCGCATATCTTCTGAACTTCTGACTGCCCTTCTTGATAACAAATGCTACAATTAAGTTTTACAACTTTCTTTGGCAAAACATGTGGTTTTGATTCAAAGCTCATACGATACAAAATCACCATTTTGTATTGGGGTTTCTGTAGAAGGAGCAACCTTTTTGCAATCATATCGCTCTTCAGAGTTCCGCATATCATTATGTTTTTCAAAAATGTGTTTTTATCGGTAGAAGGTGACCTTATCTGGGGTGTTGAAGTATTAGCTTTTCCGCGCACGCTCCTTTCGCTAATTAAATCTAATGCAACCTGTAATAAATTCGCTTGTCGCGCTTTTCCGGTGGTGCGAATCAACCCTTTTTCGCGCGCTTTGCATATGCAAATTTTGGCGGCAAATTGCCCTGGCGCCAATGAGCCTTATCATCTATGGCATCCTGAATCCTGAGTGCCGTACCTGCCGGAGTCACCCTCGTAGGTCCTCGGATTCCCTCGCGATTTGGCGTACAAAGCACAAAGCAATTTTGAGACAGCCACGCGATTCCATTTTCGGCAAAATATTCGGCATAATAGTAAAGTTTTATGCGAATTCCGCTGGCAGAACATCCGTTTCCGGCTGAAAAAAAGGGGTCCACCCCTCACTTCAGATTGACAATCAGCATGCGGTCTCATATCCGCTGGAAAGCAAACAAAACCGGGCAAAACTTTCACTTAGGCGAATATTGCGAAACTATTGGGCTGCACAACCCGTTGACACAAATCGCACTAAATCAAAAATTATGCTTTGCACAAATAAAGCGAAAGGACGAGGACGAGGAGGAGGAGGAGGTCGCCACGCAGGAAGTCGCTACACCCTGTGGCCATAAATCTCATCTAGTCAAATATTGAATTACGCCGGTTGAGGCAAGGGATGCGAAGGATGCCGGGAAAGGGTTCGCCGGCGACTCGCAGATCCAATTTAGTGGGTCAGAAGGATGTGGCACATCCCCTCGAATATTCGCTATATGCTCACTATATGTGTGACATTTTCCGGCACATCGCTTTGTCCTGTTTATTTAATAAAAATTGAAGTTATGAGTGCTCCAGGGGTCGTTTATGCGTCGATAATGAATAGTTATGGCTGTTTCGAGGGCTCTCTTTCATAATGCTTTGTTTGGGTCGCTTATAATGCAATTTATGCATGTTTGTGTAGTTATTGGGTGCTTGGGGTGCCAATGGGTTAAGGGATTTTCGTTCTTTATCTGCCGTTTTATTGATAAAAACTAATAAAAACACGCCCGTTGCCAAAAAACAACACAGACATAGGTGAGTGCAACATACATTTTCAAAACTACATGTTTCATAAATTTCAGGTGGTTTCAAAATAACAAAATATCTGAACAACACCTACAAAATACTGCAATACTGCGATACATTTTCAGTTTGCCTGCTTACCAAAAAAAAACTTTAAATAAACATAAATAAACAACCAAACAAACAAAATGTTTTAATTGCATATTGTATTTGCTAAATTGTACATTTTCTTCGACATCAATACAGATAAATTACGGCTGAAAGTAAATAAAAACCTATGAGAGATCATAGCCACGCCGATTCAGCTGTTTTGGGTTTTTTATACAGCTCCCGGGGGTTCACTTTTGGTAAAAACCAAGCTGATAAGGGAGAATATGATGTCACGGCAGTCGAAGTGGAAATATTTAATCAAGAGGCATTCCAGCCGCAGCCTCAGTGTTAATTGAACTCTCAGCTGAGAAACAAAACCTCCGGATTATATAGCTTTCAAAATGATATACTTCCAATTCAGTTGGCTTCTAGTGGTTCTACTCTTCATTTCATCGCAAAATGCCTGCGCAGCTCGAAAACGAAAGGGAAAACCGAAATTTTCGCTTCCCAAAATCAACATAAATATCCACCATAACAGTGAGTACTTAATTCGATTTAGTTTGAAGTCCCAAAATAACATCAATTTGTATCTTTTCAGATATTCACATCGGCTAAAAGTGGGTTCACTTATTTACATCTTAGAGTAGTTGCTGTTGCATAATATTATATTATTGTAGTTATATGTTTCGCCATTATATGGTTGCTTTAAAAGTTTACTTATAGAACGTACTCGAATTATATTTAAAATTAATTCATTTCCATACATACTCATGTTGTTTGAGATAAGAACGATTTGAGATTCCTTAGTCTATGTTATAAATAAAAACGATTTCAAACATGTCTCATTTCCAAATTTACTTTGTGATTCCCTGCGTCTTAATTTGCATCAGAGCCAACTTATGTCCAAATTACAGAATTTGCCCATTTCAAAGGATTAAAACTTGTGCATAACTCACTGGCTTTCCAATCTTGTTAACGATTCGGTATGCTAATTAAATTCTTGCCAATGCAGGCGGCCAAAACAAGTGGCCCCTGGAATTTTCACTTTCGCTCGCTGGGATAAAGAAGAATCTGCCTGGAAATTAACACCCGAACCGGAAAATGTTGGCCCAACAATTTGGATGTGATCCTGGGCGAAGGACCAACTTCTGGCCGTGAATTTATGGGCACTTGGGTGCGGAGTTGGGGATGCAGTTGCTCTTATCTGGCTGAAATATTAACGGTTTAGGCTTAATTGCAAATGGCGACGTTTCCACGAGGACTCCAAATTAACTGCCAGCAGCTCGGATTTTTTGAGGGGTAAGAAAATGGGGCGGCGGCCATTAGGGTAATTATTTACAACAATTTCAAATTTTACACATGAACAAGTAGGAAAAGCACAATAAAATGGCGCCACAAAATGTTTTGCATGCACTTTCCGTGTTTCGGTTCGTTTTGGTTTTGGTTTCGTTTTTGGCTTTGTTTTTCAAGTGCTGCGGCTCATAAATTACCAAAGTGCGGGCTGTAAATCACAGGATCACCCCTTTTGTCCATGTAAATTTCGAAATTTCCAACAATTTGCAACAGTCTTTCTCTGTTCTCCTTTTTTGGCGAACGAGCACGTGACCAAAAATAAATGGCATGAGGTAGTGTGAACAGAATCCTTTGAGGGCCGGCGCATAAATTTCAATTAAAATTGAAAAGCCATGAAAAATAAAATCGCCCACAGGGAGCCAAGTGATAACCATGAAAAGTTTCTACATCGACTGCTCGGGAATCCTTCGCAGGGAGTGGGCAGTTTTAATTGTGTACAGCAGGTGCAGGCATGCATGAAAGTGGCTCGGAGCCACCAGTTTTCAATTAAAACTGAAAAATATTTCCAATAATTGCCGAACAAGTGAAACTTTGTCAAGCGGCCCGCAAGGGATACCCAAAAGGATTCAAAATGCCTCCGAGGAATTTCGGTGGAGTGAATAGTGGACACTCACGGGGAATTTCGCACATCATCCCACATTGGGGAGGGATAATCTGGACATCCATCATGGTTGCCGTAGGAATCCTTCCATATAATAATCCTTAGATTAAATAGCTTACTAAATTAATATGCAACAAGAGAAATTTCCAAATTTTCTGGTATATCGGTAGAAATTGTGTAAAAAATTTTTAAAAAATATCACGTGGTCGTGACAGTTTTGGACGAAAAAAATTGAAAAAAAAAAAAAATAAAATAAAATTTTAAATTTGAATGCAGTTTTTTAGAGAATTGCTCCAGAAACATTTAGAGGTATGCCACTTCAAATTCCGAGAAAGATAAGTTGAGTTATGGACTTTGCAACTTCAGCCTTGGGTCATTTTTGAATTTCTACAACATCATAAAATCAAAAAATTACAAAAAAATGTCGAAAAAATAAATTTCCAAATTTGAATGCAGATTTATAGATAATTGCTCCAGAAACATTTACAGGTATGCCACTTCAAATTCCGATTAAGATTAGTTGAGTTATGGACTTTAGAACTTCAGTCTTGGAACATTTTTGAATTTCTACATCATAACATCAGAAAAATTGCAAAAAAATGTCAAAAAAATAAATTTCCAAATTTGAATGCAGTTTTTTAGAGAATTGCTCCAGAAACATTTAGAGGTATGCCACTTCAAATTCCGAGTAAGATTAGTTGAGTTATGGACTTTAGAACTTCAGTCTCGGGTCATTCTTGAATTTCTACAACATCATAACATCAGAAAAATTACAAAAAAATGACGAAAAAATAAATTTCCAAATTTGAATGCAATTTTATAGAGAATTGCTCCAGAAACATTTAGAGGTATGCCACTTAAAAATCCGATTAAGATCAGTTGAGTTATGGACTTTAGAACTGCAGTCTGCGCTGCGTCTACGTCTCTAAAAGCTGGATGCTTAATCTCAAAATTTTTTGTAGTTCCTGAGATCGAGGCGTTCATACGGACAGACGGACATGGCCAGTTCGACTCGGTTATTGATCCTGATCAAGAATATATATACTTTATATGGTCGGAAATGCTTCCTTCTGCCTGTTACATACTTTTAAACGAATCTAGTATACCCTTTTACTCTACGAGTAACGGGTATAAAAAGAGTACTAATCAAAAATTAGGTTCTGGGTAAATATTTAGTCCATAAATTCAACCCATTTCTTCTGCTCAGAAGTTACACTTACACACATATTTCACACTTCAGCAGGTCGCAGGCAATCACAGGACATCCATCATCACTGGCCATCTCCTGGCCAGGAACGACTTCCGATAGCCATCTGCAATCAGCTTTATTCCGGCGACAAATGTCAAAAGTATAAGCTGACACTAAACCATTGCGGCACTTCAGCGGCCAACGAGTAAACAGCTAGTAACAAACATGGAATATAAATCCCCAACCCCTCTGCAAGGAAAGACAAAGAGGGTGGCGACTGGTCACCCCTGTCCCATCCAAAATTGCTCTTTAACTTGCAACAGCGAGCGGTTAACAAGCGACGCGTGCCGCATCCTGTTTTCACACGCCACAAAGCTCAAGTACAGTTGCCGCATGCGAGCATAGTTGCTGGGGGCGGGACTGTACCCGTGTCATCGCTACATAACCTCACAATGAGCCATGACATAATTCACTTCCTGCCGCATCGTCAGCAAGGGACATCCCCTGTTATTCAGTTTAAAGTCGCATAACTCTCAAATTAAAGTGACCATGCGACAATTTTCAATTTCCACATTGTTCATAAATCAAATTGCGTTTACAATGAGTTAGCCAGGGGGCATTTTTAGTGGAAAGTGGGCGGGGTTACGCACTTGGGCGAGGGTTCAAAGCGTCAGCACTAGTACCTTTTGATGGGTTTATTGAAAAACTGCCCAGAATTGTTGTATTGTGCCCTGTCTGAGGGGGAATAATAGTTAGGAGATGAAGTTTGAAAACAACAAGGGTCGAATTTATGCTTTGTGTTCTTCACTAGTTGAAAGGTCATGGAGCAGTGCTAAGGATATATAGGTGGCATCATAATGCGTTGGATGCAAAGATAGTCAGTGACTTTAAAGGGTATTAGATACTTTCGAATATCCCTGGAATTTTTCACAGCTCCGCTCCCTTTTATTTGATTGTTTTCAGGTTTTTTGGTCCTTGTATTTCGGGTGGTTCGGTGTTAACACACCAGAGATAAGGATGCTGAGTAGTTCCTCTGCCATGTGTGACAGTTATGAGCATCTGCAATCCAATTTAACCAGAGCTGCTGGCAAATGGCTTTCCCCTGCGCAATTTTTGGGGCAAAAACACAGCAAATAATCGCATTAGGGCCTTCGGGATAAAACTGGAGACAATGGGGACATGTGTCAAAATTTTCACTTTTCGATAAAAGATCTGAAAGCCACAGGCACATGTGTTGGCCAATTTGAGACATGATTAGCTCGAAATCGGAGTGGTAAGTTTTGAAATTCAATTTTTAAATTGGCCCAGTACCTTCCCCTTCCTAACCACCTAACCAACAAGGGTTTCTTTTTGGCTGGGCCATAAATCTGGACGAAGTCTTAACATGTCAACGACACTTTCCCCAAAACAAGGTCCAACTTTATTCAAACGCCAGGAAGCAACAGGAAGGACTTGGCCAAGAATTCGGCGTTGGACTTTCCTAATGTCTACAAATTCCTTTCGCCAAATCCAATACAAAGCCCACCGACTTTGATTTATCACGGCGGGGCGTGGTATTTTTAATTTACAAGCCCGTCGAGCTCCCCAAACCCAGTCTTAACCCTTTGAGGCCGCCTGTCTGCATAATTATGTCCGTGTGCCCGCAAATTTATGGACCTGCCAACGTCTTGGGCCCGAAACCCCTGCACTTTCACTTTGTCAAATGGGCTTGCTTGTAATTTTGTAATTGGCTTCGGTCTTGGTTTCTACTTAGTTGGGATTTACTCTAAGTTATGTGGTGGTCAAGTGGTCAAGCTTGTTTTCCGGTTCTGATTTATTTGCTGTGGCATTTTACGTACATATGGGTTCTACCAAAGACACTAGAATAATAAGATGCGTAACGCCATACGAATTTTTTTATGAATAAATATTTTAAAATAAATAGTATAACATTTCAAACACTTGTATGAATAACATTTGCCCGGTTATTTGTTCAAGAGGGATGCCAATTTAATCTTGCAAGTAATCACACTTAAGAACACATACACTACACTTACTGCTCGACCGGTAAGGGAGATTACTTGAACTATTTTGCGACTCTAAATTAGAAGACATGCCTTACAGTCTTTACTAGAACTAGTTGGGAAATATAGGGCTACAAGAAAATTTGTTTCGTAAACAAATATTAAAAGCGGCAATAACTATGTGTTCCGACAGTAAGTTAAACATTCTTCAGGCTTTAATTAAGAGAATTTGTACTACTTTGTGCAAGTAACACATACACTACATGCATGCATACACATATACTTACATCCATCCATCCATCCATCCACCCATCCACCCATACATACATACATACATACATACATACATACATACATACATACATACATACATACATACATACATACATACATACATACATACATACATACGTACATACATACATACATACATACGTACATACATACATACATACATACATACATACATACATACATACATACATACATACATACATACATACATACATACATACATACATACATACATACATACATACATACATACATACATACATACATACATACATACATACATACATACATACATACATACATACATACATACATACATACATACATACATACGTACACCGGTACATACACTACACATACACTACACTCACTGCTCGACCGGAAATAGAGATTACTTGAAATATTTTCT